TTACAAGGGTGAGTCAAGTCGTTTTCTATAATCATTTCTGTTCTCATTCTATTATTTGATCATGAAAAGTGTACTTTGCATAAAAGCTCAGAACGAACATAACTAAAAGATTTTCATGACTGCTATCAACGTCAACGTGTCATCACTTAGACGTTTGAGAATAAATTCAAAATGAATGGTTGCAACAGTGTTTTGTGATGCAAACGACGAAACGTGGCACTCTTGTAGCAGTGCAAGCGAAGCGGGTGTCGTCACGATCTCAACGACATGATGTAATGTTCACACTCAAATCGAAACAACGTTAAATGGCCTAACTAGGCGTCTTTCGTGTTTTCCACTATCCTTTTCATCCTAGATCAAATCGGTCGCCATGTAAAGGGAAACGGAGATGCAACGAAATGGAATTTGGTTTAGCTGTGATTCCGTTTGAAAGCAGTTTAAATGAGTAATCGTGAACCATTGGAAAATCTTTCTTCATACAATCAAAACATCAACGCTAGGTGGTAGACAAACTGAGCTTTGGAAAGTCCTAGATGATAATGCTTTTAACATCAAACCAATGGAGTGATATGCTATTTACGTTTGGGAAAGGTACTAGGATTCATGAATCATAAAAGGAGTCCAAAGTACTTTTGTGACTATACGCCTTTGTTTCGAATAAAATTTGTCAATCTTTTAATTCAACATTGATTAGCCACTTGCTAAAGTGCTAAATTCGGCTGATGACTGGAGTTTTCTTGTGTAGTACTGCAATTCACCCCTTCAAATCAGAATGTCTGTTGATTATCCAATCAGCGTCCTGTGAATCCCGATATCTGATTATTTTCAAGGGTCTTTAAAGACCATTCTTTATCCTAAAGGGTTTCCTTTGTTAAGATTGCGAGAAGAGACAGTATCAAGTGCCGCAATTTACTACTATTTCCAACTCAGATTTTCCAGTATTCATACTTCCTTAGCACCGTTACACACCTGTTCAATAAGGAAGTAGGTGAGCAAATATTTCTGAGGAATAAAAAGTATAATATTCCAGATACTTCTTTCCCATTCCGAGAAATCAAGGTTGGAGGTGATAATCCTGCACATTGTTTGTACATGTTTGTTAGTTGTCCGCGACTTTGTTTGTAGAGTGGAAGGAAACAAAGGTACGTTAAATGTGTATTTTGATCCGTGCCAAAATCCCTCCGAGCCAGTCTTGTAACGCGAATGACCTTTGTCCCACCAGATTGAAAAACAGGCCACAATGTAATGAATAAGCTCACATGGTTCTACGAATATCTTAATTTCGAGATTGTGGAATAGATTAACTTATAATGGATTCGCATGCATGCATGATCAACCCTATTTGATGAGAATAAAGTGTTGATTTTCAGGTCAAAGGCTTCAACAACGTCCTGATTAACAATTCAGGGTGTAAATCTTTGGTACTGAAGAGTAACACGTCCAGTAGTTTAGGACACTAAAATGTGAAACGATATACCATAGTTAGGATTCACCTTTATATCACCAAGTATGCAAGAAATAATAACGAGTTAGAACCTACTGTGGATACCAACATAGGGGATGAACTACCATGGCTTTGCTTTCGTGCTACTTTTTGCTCCAATTATTATGCGTACCTATTCCAGGATTTATTAGAGAGCCTCATCAGCTCATTGAATATCTAATGACCAGTACCGTTTCGATTGCTTTCGAAGAGCACTCCAAAATTAAACAGAAACTGCACAAAGGGGATATTTATGCAATTACTTAAACCAACAGTCCAACGTTGGTCCCTACATCATCCGAGTCCTCATAACAGTAGCGAAAATCTTGACTGACAAGACAAAATGCCACTGGGCTTAAACCTTTGAAAAGCATTTTCATTATTTTTTTAAAGATGATGCCTGCATGTGTATTGGCTAAATCATCAAAAGAAAAAGTAGAGGATTGAAAATATGCTGCAAAGTAATGAACGACCTGCTTATCACTACCTTCAAATGACTCTTTCCAACTGTTTTGGGATCCAGGAACCTGTTGAAGAGTCACTCTAAGGTGATGTTGGAAAGGAAAAGTGTTTGATAAGAGCTTGAGTGAATAGCTTTGGATATTTTATTAATAGACCTTTTTAATGGTCGTTGTTGACCAACTGATTCTTAAAACAAATTCTGCAGTTAAAACACCACTATATTTCGTCAACAAGTTCTTCATATGGGTCTTAGAGGCAAAAAAACCAAACAATCCACTTTTCTTATTGCTATGGTATAGTTTGGTTCTCCATGACTTTCCTAAAGCCGATACGATACCGGGGCAGAACAAATAGTGCTGAAGTGCGAAGGTGCTGCTGGCTTGGTCTGGATACCTTGCCACTAGGAGTGAAACTACAATGGTCGTGTCTTTCAGTGCCCAAATAACCAAAACGAAGAGCTGAGCAAACAATCGAAGAGTTAGAATGGCACCCATTACCCTCTTTTCCTCCCCTCCACCACTCTCCGAAGTAATTCCTCTTTCATAGTCAAATGTGACATGCATGTGACACTCTTGGCAGCTGTGTCGGAAAAGTTTCCGTGTCTTTTTTGTTTGCTTCTTCACTTGCATGACTAGTAAAATTAGCGTTTTGAAATGTGATTTTTCTTTAACTTTGAATTAACCTATTCAAAGTATCAAAACATAACTTTAGTGTACCCGTTTGCCGGATAAAATGAAATAAGTAACATTCTGAGATCATTTTGATAGAAAAACCGTGTATCGGATACGTAAGATTGTCATTGTCAACATAGCAAATTTCGGGTCAATCAAATAATCAGAAGGTACCAAGTTTGGTTCGCTTGATTTCAGTGTTTGAGGGTGACCTTTAAATGCTCAAATGTCAAGCTATCTCGAAAGACTAGATCCTTGCCTGATTCTGCTTTGTTGAAGGGAATACTGCTCGGTGTTCCTGTTTAAATGTCATCATTTAAGGTAATTGAGTTGCTGACCTTTCTGTTTATTTCAATTTGGTTACGAGGGCCACTAGTTTCTTCGCTTCTTTCTAATTATTGCCCATCAGAGATATTACTCTGACGATTTCAAACAAAACGGAATTTTAATGGTGAATTTTCCACCTAAGAAATAACCCAGGATCTCTTTTTATCGATGTTATATTCACTGGCACGAATACTAACTGCGGTAGTGTATTGTACGCCCGTGGAGCCGCACCAAGGGAGAGGGAAATCAAAGCCGACACTGGAACAGAAACGGTGCTTTAGTTATCTAAACACCCCGGTTGGAAGACCTTTTTTATGTGCATGACTAAACATGGCTGTTTGTGCGACCAAGGCACCTATCAGGTTTCTGTTCATGCGTGCAGTCGCCCCTGTCTTATCGGCCATTTGGGTTTGGTTGACTGCCTTGGGCGTCGTCCGCGGCCTACGGGTCTGTGTGCTCATGCCGCACACACGTGGTGTCGACGTGGTGAAAATGTTTGACTTAGTCTTTAGCCAACCACCTTCTCTTCCATTAGATGTAAATGCCATCGCAAAGTGTAGGGGAGTATTTTATGGGCCCAAAACTAACCATCTGTTGGGCAATAATTTTCCTTTACGAAAATCGGCCTGCTATTATGAAACGCGATAGAGCTTGTCTACCGGGTTTATTCTAAAGCATTTTTGCAAAGTATATGCACCAAAATCTTTTTTTTTTGATGGTAAGCATCTCTGCGACAACTTTTCATTTCCAATAGTTAAGGATTAGTGACTATTCGCCGGCATGTCGTAGAGGCTTGAGTAATTCCATCAGTCAGAAGTACAGCGGTCTCTACTGTCAAAATAAAGAAAATGAAGCCATTTGGCAAAGTTTATATGCATTGGCGAGTTTAACTAATTGTCTCTAATAGCGTAAAAATAGTTAGCTATACTACATAAAAATACTCTGGTAAAATATTTATTAACAAATCAAATCAAACCCTTATATTGTAAAATACTGCTCACTTTACTTTACACGTACTATGTGATAATACACTATTCCACTGTAGGCCTTACTGACACCAAAATTTAGAAAATGGTTTGGATTGATAAACGGACGGTCTTATTTTGACTATCTATGTGAACAACTCGGTGGTGTAAGCATTAATATACAGCAGTCTCGCTAATCGTGACAAAGATGTCCAAAACACTGATCCTCAGTAACCTGCGACTTATCCTCGAATGTGGTTCTGATGCAACGGAATTACCCAAAACTTCCCCATGCGATCGCACAGCCACCCGCAAAGGTCGCGTTGTTGGTCCAATCCCGATGGCGAAGTTAGCAGGATTACCTGACACGCTAATTGACGTTCTAAATACATTCGGCAAAGAATAGAGGAGTTTATACACCTTCAAAAGTCTTTTTCCACTGTTACCATTTTTCTGAAAATCACTTGAATGAGTTTTTAAACAAACTAATATAGAATTGCTGCACAAATTTTGGTATTTAAGTAAAGCAGTTTCATTTCACCAAAAACTAGTTTGCCGCCTGCGAAGCTCCCCAACCGTCTCTTAAAGCGCAGTCAAAATCCCGCGTCTATTGTGAACAGGCTTGCGTACCGCTAACATGGTAATCGAAATCCCGGGAGGGTGGGAGGGTCCACACAATGCAGTTTATCAAAATCAGATATTTTAGTGCACCTGAACCAGGTGTATTTCAACGTATTGTTGTTAAGATGGAGGCAATCCTGCCTATTTTTTTCTCCACCATAAATATGCGAAATAAAGCATAGATTCAAGGTAGGAGAGGTGTTTACGAATTTACCATTCTATCCAATGCATCGAACCGGTTAGACGCGAATGTGTGGTGTGCACACCTACAACCCACGTCTTAGTTCCCAGGGAGAGGCGCGACGATAGGTAGGAAAGAAGCAAGGTGAATTTCCGTGTCTTCCCTCCCGTCAGGTGCGCACGCTCGCAAGCTAGTGCGTGCAAGGCAAGTTTCGAGTTTCAGGCCAGCAAGCTGACTAACCACCTATCTCCCTCCTCCTACCTTCAATTCGTCCACCGCATTGGTTGAAATTAATCATCGATCACCTCCTCCGCCTTCTCTACCAACACTACACTACAATCTTTCTCTCCACCCACTTCTTGCGATGCGAGTTCGTGTTGGCGCGCCTGTGTGCCCACCTGAGTCCACTCGACATCGAGCGCATGTGCATGATGGCCTCCTTTTAATGACGAATGCTGGAGAGAGAGAACTGTGTACACAGTCTCTGTCAGGGACTTCGTTTTCACCTGTGTCTTATGACGTGACTGAATAGGTTCGGATTAAGAGTAAATCAGCTACTGCAGAGCAAAAGTTTCCCTTGTTCCACTGCGACTCCAGCTGACATTAACTTTCACCAATTCAGCTGCTGCTCAAACGCTAGCAAATGTAATTTTTCTTAAATCCTCAGTACCCAAAATCAATTTTATGAATCAAATTTTAACTAGTCTGTATGTATCACAATATAATGCAACCAGGTATCGTCCAATGATAATGGATACACACCATGTCTATGACCACGGGGTTAGTCGATAAAACCGGAAAGCTGCACATGTGATTCTGGTAGCGACGGTGTTAGGCAGAGACACTAGTATCAACGATCAGAAACTGTGAAATTTATTTTCCTTATGGCCACTTAAAAGGTAATTTCTGTTAAAATGGATCCGCGATAAGTGTAGGGGTGCGTAAGTGTCCATTTTTCAACAGGTTTTGATGGGGGTGTTCAGTAATTTCATCCCATTACTGTCAATGGCGCTGCTTAGGTTCCTACAGCTGCCTTTAATGGGATGGTGGATCATTCCTGTTTCCTACGCAAAGAATGTCAAAAGTGGTTATGGATGCCTTGTATGAAAGTGGTGCGAAATGATAAGAGCTGTTTTGCCTAGAAGGAAGTACCCTTCCGATATTTGCATACCCAGGTGAGTCAGTGGGGGCATTAGACTCATCGTATGTTGGCTGAACTTTGACCTTAGACATAAGGAATTTTAACTGGAAAATCAATCATTTGTCAAATTTTAGCATGTCTTTAGGTCACCTTGTAGAGGTTTGAATGTTATTTTGGCGAGGTTTAGCGTTTTATCCGCCCCAGTAATCACTAAGGTAGTCTTGGAAATTGGTTTTGGACTATATCATTTCTAAGCGAAAAAAGGCCTATGCTAGGTCAAGATTTTCCTATGTTGATTAGTGTTAATCTAACCATCAAAGCGGAAGAGATTATGCCGTGACGATTGGGAAGTTGAAGACGCACCTATACTTAACACTTTAATCTATCTGTGCTGCGGCACTAAGCTAAACCTGACCTTTTAAATTGAGGTCCATTAATTATAATGCATTGAGGATGGTTAGGCCACCACGAGTCTTGCTGCGTCGGTCAATGCTAAGTGTACATTGGGCACTGCATTCAAAACGTTACCCTCTCACAGCCTAAATAGTCCCCTGGGAAAACGAGACATTGTGAATTGAAGAACACCTACTCTCGTATTCAATTGAGTCGAGGATGAAATGGTGAAATCCTTTTTTAATTTTAGCTGCAAAGCAAAAGTCCTGTTTACATAAACTAGCTGGGTTTTGTGAGTATCGAACTGAATGAACATTTTAGTTGTTGATTTTTTAAACGAATGGGAAATAACACCCAATTCACATTCATGTTTACCATCCATGTAATATGTTTTGATCACTAAATATGTTTTCAGCGTCATGAGAGTTTCCTGAAGACAAAGGAAGGCATAATATTCGGGTAGAATATGCACTGTAGACGTAGAGAAGGGGTTGGTGTTACTAGCATGGCTCAAAGATTAGGCTGCGCTGCAGAAGTACAATGGCGGAGTCCCTAAGTGGCCCATTACCAAAGCGCAGTATATGTTACAGGGTATGGTATTGCGCGTAGACAATTGCAAATAATAGGAGCTTTGGTGGACAACTAGTTTGGAACATTAGCAATCTGAATTAAATCAACCTATGTTGTCCAGCGGTCCTGCGTTACACCACTCCTGACGAATACCCGAGTCTCCCAGAGCTCCAGCATCAGCAACGTTATCCTATATTTATTTTTAAATAAATCAAACTTTCGGGCATTTCATCAACCAATACGCGTTTTTTAGTAGTTTGATGTGAAGCGTAAAATACCAAATGCTTCCCAACTTTAGATTTAATCGGATGCAGTATCGAAGGCCACTTTGTAATTCGAAATCTAGGTACTGGAATCCACCAAATGTCAAATATTACTTTATTTAGAAACATGATGTGTGAGACAACTGTTAAGTTGCCTGCTTGACCTTTCTTCATGGGCATTACTTAACCGTGTTTGCAGACTACCCTTAATTTCCTTTATGGCATATTTGACAACGAGGCACTGAGTGAACAAACCAGGTGATTGGAAGGCGTGCAACGATCAATAAGGCAACTTCCACCCGACCATGGAGGGGCGTCAGTCCTTGTCCTTGAAGTCGTGCTGAGGTGGAAATGGCTTTACTCGGGCTCATTGCTCAATGCACTGCCTTAATGCTCATTTGGGTGGGAATGAGCATGTCTAACTGGCTTTGTGGCAACATGCTTGCAGGCTGCACCGGAGACAAGTACGAAACTCCTCACTACTTGCTATTGGCAGGCACCATTTGCATTACCATTGCGGTGGGATTCGAATTTCTGACACGTTTCTGCAGCTTTTGGAAGATTTGTAATTTAAGTAAAGTGGTCGCTCAGCTAGGTGGGACTGGTTTGATGCTGATTGGACTTATTCTGTATTACACTTACAATTCGAAGGAAGCGTCCGGTTTTATGACAACAATGGGATCGACAGTTTTTATATATTCGGCGATACTTGGAATAATCAGTTTGTCATTTTCAATGACAACTGTGCCTGGCAGTTGAGTGGCGACCCTATTGCCTTTAACTGGTTTTCACTAAAACCTTTCAAACTGCTTGACTCTAAAGTTTCATCCTTGTCACTTTATGCTCATGGTATTGCAAGAGGTTTCAACCTGCTATCCCTTAAATAGGAATAAAATAAAGTCTAAACCATGATTAAATTCATATTATTTGTCTACTTACCGAGGGAGAAGGACCCTTGCCCTTAAAACGCAGAAAATTTGGTGAAGAATAAGTGTAGAAAAGCGCAAAGGGTGATGCTAAAGAGTCAAATGCTGCTATCCGTCATTCCCACAAAATCTTATGCTTGAATGTTAATTGAATGGGGGAGTGGTTTTGCACATGAATCTGACTGTGGCTAGAAAGGTAGATTATGTCCTCGATTGGAAGTAGAGTGTCTCACTAATGTTTAGTTATACAACGAGGTCTCCCATTTTGTAAAATAATATGCCTACATCTGTAGATAACCAAGAATCAGCGGCTTCAAAAACTTTTAATTCTAGTTCCAAATTTAAACTTTAAACATTATTACGATTTGTCTATTTTTTGAGATACTTTTAGTAATCATTTCACTAATATCTTTGAGAGTTAGGGAGTACGTAAGGATTGTGTAAGCCTGACTAAGAAGGAGCAGAATGGATTTACGCAAGGTGTTCGCATACAAAGTGCTGCTGTAAAAGCTATTTTACCGAGTGACTGAAAATGCCACATTTTGATTATTAGCAGTGTCATGCGCTAAAACTCTCTGGATATTTTTATTCTAGCATGGTTTTTCATGTGATTTTACTGGAATCCTTCAAGCTCAAGCGCACCTGACATGGCACCGTGTGAATTTTTAACAGATACCTCAGCCGAAATGCCGCTTTTTGGTCATCGTTTCGAATCAAGGCAAAAGTGGTACCACTCACGTGTTCTGAGGAGCATGGTAATGACCGCAATACGAGGAGTCATCGCTGTTACTCCATGCCTCGTTTTTGATGCTTAAAGTCCATCGCAGAAGGAATCTTACTGAATTCAGCTTTACATTTACACTGTAACAGTAAAGTCCCCCCAATGGGTAAATCATTTCACTATTAGTGTGGTAATCGAGGCAATTATTATTAAATCCATGACAAACAGTTACATGGTCACACAGTTATAATGATTTGTGTCTGTTCAATTACCTTCATGAGAACAGTCGTTCTGTATTTCTAATGAGCACAATATTCAGCTTATTGCCACCTTAGAAGTTATCAGAGAAATTCTACCTTACCTCTGGCTTTAAAATAAGATTGTTCAAGGCAAACGATGCCGATTTTGAGCGGTACAAGTTGATAGGACTTATTCTTTGACCATATCACTGCGTGTACAGAAACACCCATAATTATTTAGGAGGAAATACGGGAAGAAAAGGACTATCAATCAAAATAGCGCATTAATCTTGCATATCCTGAGTGCTCTTCAGGGGCAAGGCAAAATAAGTAGGGAAAGCAACGGATCTGTCCCCCTGGTGCCCAGGCAATCTTGAGGGTACGCATTGCGCATCTGAATGCCGTTGCCTTACCAGAAGCAGAATCAATTGGCTATCCCACGATCGCTTCCAAACACCTTTGCCTATGAATAGCTGACTCTTTGGGATGGACTGCAACTTGTCAAAACTGCTTCCTTTTGTGATTTAAATAAAATATACGTTTAAAATAACAAAATAAATCTTATTCAAACAGGAACTAGTGCTTTAATGAAACTATGAGCGCTACAGTTAATGTAAGAAATGAGTATGCAGAAGCAGTTTGTCACAGGACAATTCCATCGCCCTAGCGGCTTCATAACATTTTCATGTTTACCTAGGCTGGTTGCTTTGAAACGCTTTAAAAAACATATTTTAGTTTTTCTGTGTAGGGATCTAGACAGTCTTTCAAAGCTGGAATTGTTATTTTTATCAGGAAACTAGTTGGACCATAATATACGTACTATGAAGGTACCACTGCGACCTTACTTTGCATACACAGGTTACCTTAATCGAGTTGGATGCGAAGCTAACAACGGTACATGCACCTGGAAAAATGGAAAGTTTATTATATTGGTCTATTCAGTTCTCACCTGACTTCCTAATCAAAATGAACAGCGTTTTAGGTAATTTTTAACATGACATGACATGCTCTCGTGATGCAGTGAATGCTGCCACTGTGGCGTTTCATTTGCTGTTTTAAATGCACGATTCCGTGGGTTGTGTCATGTACGATTATTTAAATCCACAACATTCTAACGTCCAAGAGATGGAGAACAATAGAGAAGTCTAGATGAGGTGTTTGTTAAATAATACTTGGCTTTTTGGATGTTAGGTAAAAGGAGCTATAAAAATGAAGGAAGTTTGCGCAAGAATTAGAAAAGTTGAACTCTTCTATCTCCACTCCAGTTTTTACATCGACTACTTTCCATAATGCCGTTTGTCCAACCATTGCTTAAACCATATTCCCATAGCACCCAGCGTTCTCAATTTCATTTCTACCACAAAGCTGGCGCAAAAACTTGTTGCTGTTTCCCATTAGCACTAATCATAACCTCGATTTGCAACTAACTTCATGCACTCAACTAGCAAGAGCTGGTTGTTACTATCAAAATCAAATAAAACCACTGCAGCTGAACCGCTAAATTTACAGAGGGTCATGTTTATCAGCGCACCAGAGGACATATGATCAAATAAAATACATAAAACAAGTTCCCGGAATCAAAATGCTATCCCTTTATTTCTCTGTGTCCAACTGCGTGTAACAGTGACGTTGCGCCTTCAAAATGTACCACAAATATGGGGAATTTTTTGGGGTGAGGGAGAGAATAAATAGAATGCACTTCTGAAAAGTTGGTGCAATCAGCCTTTCAATTGTGCTAGACAGACGAAAAATCTATTGCTGTATTATTCTTAAGGCTGCCTTCAAGAGAAATTTGTTAGGGCCTCTGACGGTAGTGTGTGGACTTGTCAAGTCGATTTCACCTCTGCGGGGGTTGCAATAATCCTCCCCACTTTGGGTTCGACTGAAACCCATTGCAAAAAGTTGATTATATCAAATTAAGCTACGCGTTGGCATTACTGAGGATATTTTAACAAAGTTTTTGTTAAAAACTACATCCTTCCTAAGGCAGCAATAGCTATGAGAGTTCCATGGAAAACCCATGATTTTTTTAAATTTTGATGACATAATAATTGGGTGGTAGCATTGCAATTTGTAAAAACTTGGGTGTGAAGAGGAACAGCCTGTTCTACCACGAATTTTGAAGCGCTCTGGGAACTGATTAGCTGCCACTTTCTGTGATGAAAATATTACCACACTTCAAAAAATTCCAGTCCAGCGCCTCTGGCTTTCAATCCCTCCACAATGGCCTTACAACAAGGGTTTTTCTGGAACCTTTCACGGCAGGGGTTATTGTACTTCGCATTTCCTCATCGGACTGTTAAAATCAAATAGTGATTTGGTCAAAATGCAATTTACCGACCAACGTTGTCTCCCCATTTTATTATTCTCGATTAACCTTAGGGGTCATTGTGAGCAATTAAAAAGCAATAATTTTAACTATACGTGAGTTCGCCTGTGCCGGAATTAGTATTTGAAGACTTGCAATTTAAAGCCGTAGCGTCCATTGTGATAAACCCATTTGAGTCAACAAAACCCTCTCCATTGCTGCCCATTGTTTGCTAATGCATCCCTTCCTTATTTTCATGGCACTAAATCACAGCTTCTAACTGACCCTGTAAATGTGAATGAGAGTGAAAAACCAAATTTATCTCAAATTATAGACTGCTGTAAGCCGAGCCGTTGGGGCCGCTTCATGCACCAACTTCAATCCCTTCTTTCAGCTATAACCCCACTTTATTAATTCATTCTCGAAAATTCTTTTTAAAATTTTAAGCAATTTCTTTTATGGAGGAAATACTCGGGACTTCTGAGTACTTTTGCATTCAATCCATAAGTGGCTATTGCCCCGCAACTTCTTATTAATTACTTAGGTACCCAACCTTATAATCAGCATGCATAATTTTGTCGAACGTTCATATTTGGACTTTTACTGAAAGGCCGTGTAACGGAAATGAGGGAAAAGAGAAGATAACGCTAGTTTTTTATGAGCCAAAAATCCCTTTCAGGATCAATTCGACTCCTGTTAAGGCAAACTTGTGAAATTGTTTTGTGGGTGTCAGTAGATGCAAGCATAGGTGCGCATATGGGAAAAAGCGGTACTGCGGAATGGAAGAACTTTAAGGAAATCAGTAAGCGGGAGAGATGTTAGTCAGTATCATACAAGGAAATAGTAATGGATGTAACGGAATCACTTCATTTACCCTGGCATTAGCGACATTCGTTAATCCGTACACCAGCACTGTAGCTGTTGCAGCACCTCCCGTAGAGCAGTGCCATCAGCGACAGCTGCACCGCAAATATCGACCCGCAAGTGGCGATGAAGTAGGACCAGGAGCCAGAAATCTCCACAGTGTAGAGGATGACCGCTGCAAGGGTGAGTAGAGAACCGATGTAAAGGAGAGCCAGTCTCACACCTCTCTCGACACCGGAGCGAGTGTCAGAGCAGAGGTGGATGAAGTCGATAATGCAGACCACGGCAAGCATAGTGATTCCGATCACCAGGCAACAGGTCACCGCCAACATGACATCCCGTTTGGAGGCTCCTTCCTGAGTGCACCTCTCAAAGAGACTGCCACAATGCCAATGAGGCAGGACCAGAGCAACGCAGAGGGCTGCCAGAGAGAGAACAAGAATGGACAGTTGGAGGTGTTTCAGTCCCATGCCTTCACAGCTCTTTGAATTTACTCGCAGGAGAGATAAGTGTGCGTATGCGTGTGTGCTGCCCATAAGCCAATAAGGAGGCATGGCGGTGGTAGTGGTCTCCGCAACCAATCAGGTGCCAGCTCTGCGACACAGGGCATTCTATATCTCCTGCAGCTCCTAATGCTGTGAAATGCAAATTAATATTGCTGCTACTAGGTTGTTTATCAGTCCGTAACTGAATTTTTCCATCTCAAATGATTTTTACAGGAGGCTGATTCGTGATGGGGAAGTCAGTTTTGCCAAGGAGCGCTTCGAAGTAACTCACACGAAAATCGGCAAGATCAATGGCAGTGACTTTGGAGATATGATTTCCACGTCGAGAACTTTACCGTCTCGACTAAACCACTTGATGTGAATTCGATGAAGATCTTCAAAACAAGGAGGAGATAGTTACTATATATATCCAAACTAAGAAAGCATACTTAAATACATGGTTTCTCAGCTTTGACACAGATTTGCAGCGCATTTGCTGAGGTGTTCTTGTGTGTTCAGTGTTTGGAAATCTGAAGGCTCGACATGTGCGCCAATCTTCACAGCTTAATTTTGCGTTGCCGCCTTGCCGCTGCAATTTGGTACCTTTGGTTGAAACTTATGATGCAATTCAGTGACTTTCAAAAAGCAAGCAATACGGTTTATGGAATATAATCTTTTTCTACCAACTGAATGTGCCATGGACAGTATCTTTTGAAATGCACTTTGAAATGCATCACAGTTTCAATGTCAATGGACCTAGTCTTTGTTCGCTTCAATACTCCTCAATTGGCTGTGTAATAATGTCATCCAAATGTTCAGATAGATTTTTGAGGATGACACTAGTACAATTCTGAATGGCTCCATGTGAACATGCAGGCGCAAGTGAAGGAAAATTTTGTTTTTAAGCCAAGAATGTATATATGCCACTTTTATTTTTAAGATTGACCATTACCCATTAAAAGGAGTTAGAATGGATCATTCAGTGAACAATTCAGAATTTTATTATGATCGGAGAATTTTCACATCTCCACGTCTCCTTCTGATATGCTGGTGGCATGGCGCCCTAATCAGGTCACGTGTGTCAGTAGTCTCCCAGTCATTCTATACTTTAAAAAGCCTATTTTCAGAAGGTCTGTCCTATTACATCTTCAAACATGACTCGGGTACTATAAGAAGATATTGCAGGCATAGCTCAAAAACATGGATTCCCCGTAGTTCCACAAAGTGTAAAAATTCTGATTGCGGATCACCGGAACATTTGAAATTACTTACATGTCAAATGAAGTAAAATCTGTTTTATAGTCACTTTCTAACCACACACCTGGAATGCAGGTGAAGCTTACACAAAATATCCAGTAAATTTCTTACCACCAATCGTTTCGCTACTTCATTCATGTAGTCTGTCCTTAAACTGATGTTATTTTATTAATAAACCGGATGAATAAATTGAGTTTATAATTTTGGGGTCCTGCAATCTTCCTTGATTAACTCCACATTCATGCGCAGCTATGGGGTAGGGGTTGGGTCAGATGGCGGTTCTGACTGTCTTCATTTCAGCCAAGCAGGCACATATCTCCAAATTCTTATTTATTCGCCTCCAAATTCACAACCTAATTACTTTTCAGTTATGCTTAAGTAAAAATTTTTTAAAGCGCCTTCATTAATGAGCATTTAGGTTAGGTTTCATGGCAGAATCGTTGCTAATCGCCAGTCTTAATTATGGGCCGTTCGTTAAACTTAACAAGCAATTTATCACTTTTTTGCAATGAAGATTTATGCTTATTAACACACACCAGTACCACACATGAGTCACATTTAACTAAAAGGCGATAAATTAGACTGAAGAGGGAAATCGAAACAACAATCAGGGTAGCTGACTTTCCCCCAAGGCCCTAGCAATACTTTACTACTTGTGGTCTGCCGACAACTTTCATCTTTGCTCATTCAAAAAAACACATTCATTCAATGATATCGACACATTGAATTGGCGCCGTATGCAAGATGGTATAATCTCTCCACCCTTGATTAGGAATTGTGTCGCCAGTCGAGCTGGCGATGAAGTGTTGATCCATGATCTTGTTCAAAATCACAGAGTTACTCCGAATTAAACCTACAACTCATATCGTGAATCTGATGTTGTCTTTAGTAGTAGGAAATTCACATTCCTCGACTTCCACTTAAAACCTTCAATTTTTATGCCCCTTAGTACATACCATTTACGTATCCCCGCCTTGAACTTCTAGCCATTCCTCCTCTACGGGCCGTCGCCTTAAAAGACTTCCAGAGGCTACATTTTCTGGGTATCATTGAAGCCTTTTATAGTGTTACAACACTGACAACATGAGAAGTGGCAGCAGTTGAGAGGTGGACGCCGTATATAAACTCGTTCATGCATGTCAGAAGAGTCCTAACACCGTGATGGCAGGATCTCCGCTGGACGTGCGCGAACGTGTCGGCGCTGACGCCTCAGTCTGCGTTATAGTAGTACAAGCCCGTGGACCATCCTCCTCAAGAGTGGCGGTCTCTATCTTTTGGCAAAATAAAATCATTTCGATCAAATTTTCCTAATTAGAATACGAAAGCTAATGCCTACCCTTTCATTCTATCATTAGTTGTTTTGAAAAATAGCTTTAAAGGTGTTTTAGTTAGGACTTGTTACTCCGAGGCAACCCTAAAAATGGGCAGATTTATGCAGCCCAGCATTTCTGTACTTACATAAGTGTGCGTTTCTTCAACAGCTATTGAAGTGACAATGTCTTTTGGTACAAAGGCTATGCTACCGTGCATTACCCCTTTCAGCAGTTATTTTTTACAACGATTTATAAATAGTACTATTACCAAAACCAGGTTGCCATCATGTGTACCAGTGGCCAGAAGCAGACCGGTGCACATATTGTTGGACATTTCAGACACCGGTAAGCGAGGTGACAGGTCATCCTAGGACGCTTCAATCGTACTAACATCTTTCTATGGCAAAAGTACTTTTCGGATATTTGCTCAACGCTGGATTTTAACAAAAGACTGCACAGGAAACCTAATGCATTTTCTACACCTTAAAAGTTTATTTACAAGTTTCGCTTATACCTTAGAATTATCGTATTTGCCATTTAATTGTACTCCACAATGAATAAACTTGATGACCTCTTGATGGTGTGCATAATAGCTTTTTGGGCAAACTTTGGTCAAAAAAATACTGAGAAGCCTACTTTCTTTAAACCACCTACAGGATCCAAGCAAAACGAATGAGCCCGTATTGCTAGACTATCTGAAGTAGATTCGCCTCAATATTTCCCGATAGTCTTCGCTTGTCCATTCTCGCTCATCGTTAAGATCTGCACCGGTGTAACAGCAGTGCACAATAGCGATGAAGGGCTCTGCTCCCTGGTTCATCACCTGACAGTCATAGTCGTCTGTGGCAAAGGTGGTATCATGCTCCAGGCTGAATGGAGCTTTCAGGATATCGGATCCAGCGGCTAGAGGAAATGTCAACTCACCGATTTTAGCTCGCACAAGGAAGCAAAATCCTCCTGTGAGTTTCGTCTCTAGGCTTAGAATGACAAGAAGCACTGTAAAGGTCATGAAGGAAGAAAATGTGAAATCAATATTACGAATTTCAAGCTAATGGTGGTCCGCAAACTCCATCCCCGGTCTTCAAAGGAACTTTCGACAAAAACTCTTTTAAAAAAATCTCCACATCGCCACCAGACATTAATTGTGACTGAAGGCTCCGTCAAGAAAAAGACAATCTATTTCACTGGAATAAACAGAACAAAAAGCCCTTTTTTGCATTTATGGAGAAAGTGCTTCGGTTTGCGTTGCAATGGAAAATATACATCTTCATGCCTCCACTTTTCAAACTCGAGACTCTCATGTGGGGGAAAGACATTTTATGATAACTGAACAGATATTTGCAAAAAGATAATCGTTTGATTTTCCAGTGTTTTTAGGATAGTTTACCTCGGGGATACAGCACCTTACTAAAATATATTGAGTAGAGTAGTTTTTTAAAAAAATGGCTGTCTAAACTAATCGGTTTTCTACCAGTCCTCATTTACATCAAACTTAATATGCAACAGACAGTGTGCCTCCGCGTTGTTGCATTTGCAGATAGGAGTAAAAAAAGCGAATCTCTTGCCACTTTCACGAGAAGCTTATCCTAGGCGATCCGACTCCCACGGTCACTTAAATACATTGCCGTTTTAGCATGCTACCAGTTGCCTTGGCCTTGTTATTTACTTCCTCGTCTAAGTGATCTTTCTTCATGTAAATGCATCAAGTCCGTGTGGTAAAATTTGGGTGTCACATACAAGTGACTCTGGTAGCATAGATTCAACGTGGCGATTAATATGTTACGGGACAACTAGGTTCCTTTAAATCAAACCCATTGCCTTGTTTGCTGGTGATGTTGGCATAATGCGATATCCAACACAAGAAGCACAAGATTAGGAGAATTTCAAGTATGCCAACGTCCAATACACCGTCGTGCGTTAGGGCTTGCTATTAATAGAATAGCCTCCCTCGAAGTTGATTTACTTATATCGACTTCCTTTTCGATTCGGCCTCAGGAGGAGAGGTTGAGAACCCCCCCATACAGGGAAGGTGTACGCAATTGTGGTAATGTCTACCTGAAATGGGACTCGGACGAAGTCAAGTGTGTTGATTCTCCCAAAAGCAAGGATATGACTGGAAAGACATTTCACGATATTTTTCTACTAAGAGTCTGTCGGGATTGTCCGCAATCCCAGAAAACGTCCCAGTCCAATTTTCTAGAATTTTCCATGCCCATAAATAATTCCCAAAGCATTGAAAAAATAGCCCTCTCCCGAATGGCTGAGACCACGATCAAAAACTACTTAAAGCACGCTAATAGTCACTCTAATTCGAAAGTCAGGTCACTGCTACATATGCCCATGACCAAGTCAACCAGATGAATCGGATTAAGCGCGGTCTTTGGTAGCCTTCACCGGTCTCCACTAGTCCCAACCTGCATGTCACATGTTTATGTTGACTTGCCCCTACTTGTTAACAAACCCATCTATTCAAGACAATCACTCTTAGGCCAAAATCCCTTCCTGATTAGACACAAACTCATGATTGCCACTTCCATAGAACGTTTTGCCTCTAGAAGTCAAGGAAAAGCCCAAAGTCATGGACATCGCCATTCCTGTCTTACTTCTATCTCCCGACTGTGAGTTTCCCTAATTCAAGAAATATTCAAAGAATTTGGAGGAGGAGGTAGCATCCTCCACCTCATTCTGAAGTGCAGATTTTGGTCTCCTCTCAGGTAAGTGGAATTTTGCATCAAATCGTAGGAATGTGATTGGTACTTCCTCTTAAATGATTTGTCCTGGAAAAACCAAATTCTATCAAGCAGATAGGCATCAGCTGTGTTTTGCCTTCAGCAGGAGGGCCAAACAATCAACAAACCTCTTCGTGGGTCACCATCCAGGAAGCAGTTGTCCGAGCGTAAATGCCTAGAGAAGTGTTTCCTCGAAGTTGCTACCTGAAAGCATCTTTTACCATAAATCTGTCACTAAGCGATCCTTTCTTGGTAGTATGTTTTTATAACATGAAAGAAGTGAGAAGCAAACCAATCGTGGAAGCTTGTTGTTACCTGTTAATGAATGTAAGTGAAACCTATTCGGTTGGATTGGTCCAAGCCTTCCCCAGTCGATATTGATAGAAACCAACTGTTTCATCACTCACGTTAAACGTTAGTGGTAGTTGTTCTTGTCATGTTAATATCAAATTGACGTGTCAACAGTGACATTCCATATTATCAAGAATGGTCTTCTTGAATGCAGCGCATCTGCCTCTGTCAAGGTAAAGTTGATTATGTAAACAAGTTGTAGACAGTGCATTCTGGGACTGCAACTACTCAAGATGCTACGTACACTCCACCCGATGCTTTTGCAACCTCAGAAACGAATTGAAATGAGCAAAGCGGATAAGTTGGAGTCACACCATACTCAACGGATATTCTATGATTGGGGAGTTCAAAATGGGAGAAAATAGTAGGCAGTACAAAAGAAAGGATTCTACCAACAAGTTGATGCACATCTAGTGCTTTATAATGCATATCATCAAGTGCTCTTTATAGACCCCTGCAAGTTAAAACAAGTCAATCCAGAAAAGTCCACAAAGTTTTCGGTAACAATTTCGATTTTCCTCTCCGGAGGTATGTCAGTACAAGCATAAACCGCTTATTCCCCCTGCTATGGGCTGGCACTTATTTGCGAGCTTGGATCCTGCTGAGGTCCCAACCGGTGCAAAGAGGAGACAAGGACCTCGGTAGAGATTTATTTATTTGGGGATGAGAATGAGTGGGCTGGGGATACGGTGCATACGTACGCGGGTGCGGTCTGACTGCTGAAGCCATAATGTAGCTCCATCCTCGCGTATTTACAGTATTTCGATTGGCATTGACTTTATAGTGATTGGCAGCACATTCAAGGTCCGCCTATTGGTCAATCAGGAGGATCGAACAAGAGAGCAAATTACAAGGAGTTTTAGAATGTTCGAAAACTAACCATGAAAAAGAGGACTCCTCGAAAATCGAAAAGGGAACGTTCCCTGGGGTTGCCAACATCGCCAGAATCTCCGAAGAGTTAACACAAGGCGGACACAAAGAGACAACTATGGATTTAAACATTGAAAGAGGAAAGTAGATGGGTTTTATTTTCACCCGAAAGTACATAAACAACAGTTGAGAAGTGTGATTTTTACTCAAACAGTCTGAGCAGTTCACTCGCACACCTTCGAATCGACGCCTGCGCGATTTTGCATTGCGTCCAGAATTGCATCACATCACGAATCCGCTCCCAACCCGTCAGCACATCCTCGCTAGCCTCAGAGGCCCCACTCGAAGTGGCTGCGCTCCCAATGAGACAGGCGCGCCGCAGTCGTAGTGCGGCCTCCGCCTCTGCACTTATCGGTGTTCCTTCGGTAGGGACAGGAGTAGAGGCAATTACGGCAGTGGCAAGCGCGATGAGGAGTCGAAGCTGCACCTCTGGGGGGTAGTGAGTAACCGATTCCATACCTTTGGGAGCAGTGAAGAGTAGTAGGCTGGTTGCCATTCGCACACACAATCCCGGCAAGCCCCGCAGGGTCGGTATTGCGGTGATAGTGGTGCTGTGGTCGCCGACGTTTTTGTAAGCAAAAACGGCCAGATTGTGTACCAAGGTTGCTAGAGCTACCTAAAAGGTAGGAAGATATAATCCAAATGACTTTCTGTTTTGCCAAGCATTTCACCGTTAGAGCCGGTTTTTTTTGAGAGAAGTGATGAACAAAAACATCCCCTTATCTCCGCTGCCGAAAGGTAACCTAACATTGGGTAAACGAGTTTCATTAATTAGAGGAAGGATGTTAAGTTGGTATTTTGGGATCCCGACACATTTCAGATTTTCTAGAAATTGAAACATATCAATGAGATGGTTTTGATTGTGATCAATTGAGCGGAATGAAAACGCAGGGCAGGGGTACTCTCTCCGCCATAGCCTTAAGCATGAAATTAGGGGCCCCGGAAGGAACATCAGGCATACCAATTTTTGGTAATCAGATAACATGGAGTACATTAACCTCAATATTATTGTCAAATTCAGCCCAATGTAACCATTGTACTTTTGTATTATCTGCACACAGATTAATTTAACTAGAGTTCGTGCAGTAGTATCAGACGTTGTCGTCTCACCTATTCAGACTACCAAAGCGAATTCACAGACATAAAAATATTATCTTAGGGGAAGAAATGAAAACACTCAGGTTAAGGTGCTTTGCCAGTAGCATAACATTACTATCTTCTGTGGTCCAGGAAGGAGTATTTAGGCGGTGATATTCATAGTAATTAAGATGTTGCCGAACTTTTTTTCGATCACAATGTACCAGCGTTAAGATAAAAATCGAAATTTCATCTTAGGTTACATCAAGCCTATAAGGGACTCGATGGCATACAAGAAATGTGTGTCCACGCTAGTAGACTTAAATCGGACTTGTTATATATCCATTACAGTCGACATATTTAATTGATGAAATGGGTGGCTTCTAGGGGTACTCACAAGCAAGGCGAGATATGGGTTCTATACCAACGCAGTAAAAAGCAACCAAAGAAACACAAGTATCGGATTAGCCATTTAGGTTTAGGACGTACAATGTAGCGAACTATTCTATAAAAAAAAACCCCCATTGAATAACTATCCAATGGTTGCAAGACCGCAGCATCATCTAGGCAGGTCAAGAATAGCAAAACCTTTCGTTTATCAATGAGTGTCCAGTGGTAAGATTAGCCTACGCAAAAGTAACAACTACGTACAGCGGTGTCAAATTGGATAACCCTTATTTTCCCATCTAGAAACATCCATATACCTGAGATACTCAGTCTATCAATCGTGTCTTATCTACACGACTCCGACTTTCAAATGTACCAATCCGATTGATATCGCAAAACCACCCACCACGTGATTTTTCTTTTTATCAAAAATATCCAGGGCAGGCGAATCGAAGAGTTTGACCAGATGCCTGGCCTCCTCAAAGATGAGTGGCAGAGAGGCGGGTACAGAGGAGCCAGCCCTCACTCTACCAGCATCTGCGGCAACTGCGTTGGTCATGAGGCGAAAGAGGAATAAAGAGCAGTTTATCTCAGCTGGAGGAAGGGTCGCAATGGCACCGACATCCATCTTCATATGCTCTAGACCCGAAGTTCGCAAGATAGATGTCCACATCGCCGGTTGAAAGATGGCGTCAGAGGCACTGTGCCAACGGACCAAACACCGCAACAAGTCGAGGAGGGGAAAGGTTAGATCTGAAAAAGGCGTTGGATTCGAGCATAATCCTGAGTTCTCGGAGACAATATTGAAACACTTACGCAAATCCCGTGCATTTTGAATCAAAGCGATAATTTG